CAACTTGGTTTCCTCACTAGCACTCTTGCTCAACTTGGTTTCCTCACTAACACTCCTACTCAACTTGGTTTCCTCTACATTACCTTTGGTTTGCACATCATGACATATAGCTTGCCATCTGATCCCTGGATGCCAATCTTCTTAGGTCTTTGTAGAGACGGGAGTACCTCCACCTGTTACAATCATACACACATTGCATTGGATGTTCCTGGTGTGAGGTCTTGAGCTAGGCTCTCACACCTTACACTAAGTCAATCTCAAGTTTTTTTCCCTCATGATTTTACCTTAAACTATAAACTAGAACACAAAGAGATCCACAGATGCCACATGTGGATTTACACTTATTTTTACAGACTTCATCTAAAGTTTTAGCTCTGCTGAACACAAGCTTCAAATGGATCTTGTGGGACTTCATTAATCAACTAACTCTGAAGACAATCCAGACTGTTGTCACTGTTTGATCTCTACGGTGGTTGGCAGGTTAGGAGACTCTTCCGCTCTTTGGTCTGGGGGATGCTTGATCTGCTGGGTCATAGGCTTCTCAACTTCTACTGGGTTTCTGCTCAAAGTACTTTGGGGTGTGTGAAAACAAATTCTCAGCTTTGTTAAAAGCAATGTGCTGACAACAAATGCTTACCACATCATCAAAGCTGTTGATGAATATCTGGGCCATAGGGAAGGGATCATGATCTCGATGAGCTCCTTGACTACTAGGAAGGGTGACAGTCACTGCTGATTGCAGGGGTACAATGATGTTACTGAAATTGCTAAGACAGAACAAAGGAAGACCATTGCAGGGAAAAAAGGAAACTCTTCAGTTAGTCTTTTTGTTATTCTTGGACAAGTATTTTTCAGGTAAAAATTCAATGAAAAATTATGACAACCATTTCTCCACCTGCTCCAAATCTGTTAAAATTCCAAGACGACTGTTTGCCTGATAATCAGGGGTAACAGGAATGTTTGATATCCTACCTGTCGTCTACAAGCCTCTTGAGTGATCTGAAGTCATTATTGATGCTAAGCGTGTTACATGTCAGCTCAACTTGTTTGTTGCACAACTCAAGCAGTCGATCGGTCAGTCTTGTGGCATCCTATCAGTAGTAAAGATAACAATATCAAAATACTATCCTGTTGAAGGTTGGACAACTTGGTATTTGTAAAGGAAGTATGCTTTTTCAAATCCTTGATAGGAATCCATTTTCAGTGACTAATGATAGCACATCCCTGGATGGACATGACAGAGATGAAAGAGCCTTCGTCAGGAAGGTTCCTACCGAGGACACTGGAATCATGTAAAATGACAGCATCCTAGGCAAGACATCAATCAGGATGCAAGCTTGGGTCAGGTCACGAGACAGGTCACATGATTTTAGAAACAGAACTTGTTTAGTGAAGTAAAAATGTTCTAACCTGGATGAACTTGTTGAGGTTCTTCTGCAGATACTTAGCCCTGTTGAAGATATCACTGCAACGTTTGGTTCTCACAGGGTAGGAAGACTGAAGGAACAAAAACAGAAATAATGGTTCACAGCGGCCATGTTGAAGGCAAAGCATCTCTAGTCTTACAGTTACAATTTCAGTCAATTACCAACCGTTAGGAAACAAGAAAACTCCACTGACATAAACAAGCTCAATGCTCTGCTAGAGTAGGCTGTTAGAGGGTCAAAGGATTAAGCAAGAACTAAATGTCAGGACCAAGGCAAGGGTATTAAGATCAATAAAATTCTTCTCAATTCAGAGTGTTCAGGTCGACATTTTGATCATTACTTTTGGGGCAAAGTTCTTTACTGTACAACATAGAGGCTTTGCGTGGTAGTCATCTTTTGTTCCACAGGAAAACCGTTTTGTTCCACAGGGAAACCCTTTTGTTCCACAGGGAAACCCCTTTTGTTCCACAGGGAAACCCTTTTTTCCACAGGGAAACCCTTTTGTTCCACAGGGAAACCCTTTTGTTCAACAGGGAAACCCTTTTGTTCCACAGGGAAACCCCTTTTGTGCATATCCTGTAGAACAAAAGAACTGCCCTGTAAGATGGCTACCAAGCAAAGCCTCTGTGCTACATGTATCACTTAATGGGCAAGGTAAAGCTGACATCACAATGACCAACTGTAAGAATGAAGACGTGACATTATATCTCTGTGAACAGAAATATAACCAAGTTACCTTAGAGACGGCCATGGACATCCAAACAGCTTGTTGAGGAAAGGCCACGAGAACACGAGCAATGATCTCCTAAAAGATGGACAAAAATCCTCCTTTAATATTGACAATTTTGGTTTGACCTTCACCGTCCACAATACCTTCAATTCTGATAGGGTTTAAGGAAGTTAGGGTTCGTCAAGAATAAGAAAAAAACTGAATTGCCGGATAATTAAGTTCAAGAAATCTATTGAATTTCAAATTCAAATTTATCAAGCCGCGGTTGGCCACGTGACTAATGCCCTCCATAAGTACTTTACACCCTAGCCCTGGGATCAAGAACACAAAATGAACACTTTACATCCAATACTATGACTTTGGGAGTACACTCCATGCAGCAATAAGCTCATCACTGACACCTAGCCTCACCTGTAGCTGAATAAAGACTTCCCCATGAGCATGACAGATGCGAGAGATGAGCTGAGAGAAAGCGGTCAGAAACTGGTAAGGGGCTAGCTTCACAGTCAGGTCAGCCAGAATCTAAGGGTCAAAGGTTAAAGGTTGAAATGTAAAGGCAAAAGTCTCTAAAAGATTAACAATCAATGATATGGTAGCTTATTCTGAAAATGGTTAGACTAGGTTGGGCAGCATCCGAATCTGTTGTCTAGAGCTAGGTCTAGGTCTTCGCTCCATTAGAAATGTGCGGAGATGCGTAGACAATAGACCTAGCCGTAGCTCTGGAAGCCCGTTTTGGACATGGCCTCAGTTAGCTTTCTAAGATCAGCTTGATGAAATTGGTCTGGTTACCTATATCCCTACTTCCGAATTGCAATGAGCAACAGGAAGCCAGGAACCAAAAGTTTTAGGATAAGTTTCATCACTGTGACTGGAATTCTTCAATCATTTATGTAAGTGTAAACGTAACCAGAAGTTATTAATTAATGTCCAGTTTGGCCTCGATCTCGCTATCAGATGTATTTGATGGACCTCTAACGTGGAACATTTTTACTGTATTTCTACATGGGTTAAAGCTATTGAACACATTCCTCAAGGAAAAACATTAATTTGTTTGTGCAACTTCAAAAGCCATCTGAGCGTCTTATCTCTTTAAATTTGCTCTTACAATTTTCAGATCACAATGGGTCGTGTTCTCATAACATGGCCACAGCCCAGGAGATGATTAACAAAATTGAATCTGGGTTTAGAACAGCTTCACAGATGGCAGACTCGTAAAAATTAGGCCAACCTTGTTGAGTCTCGTCAAGATGTTCTTGCTGGTGAGCGTCTTCTCTGTTTTCTTGCCTTTCTCAAGCTCAGCGACATGCGATCCGTAGTCCAACCAGAGCGTGAGTAACCGAGGCATGGATTGATAGATATACTGATTACCATAGAGCAGAGAATGACCAAAATGACGAACCACAAACAAGATGAATTCACTGGGAAAGCAAAACAAAACCGTATGATGGCGGTAAATATATGAATCATACGTATGTACATTTCAAAGTCACTGCTTCGTAGTGTAATTAAGTGACAAAGAAAATGGTGTCTTAAATTGTGGTTAAATATGAGATAAATATTTGCTTGGCCAAAACCGGCTCAGCAGAATGAATGCTGATAATGTCTGAACCACAGGCGAGGGCACTAGTCGCGTCCATTCTCTTGAGCCGGTCTTAAACGAACGTTTAAGACTGGCCAAGCACATATTTATTCCCATTCACAAATACCTTTTTTTTAGTCACGGAGTCAAAAGAAGTCAATATATGATGGATTTCCAAAGATTTTGTTCTAGAATTTTACATGTACTTTCATTTTCACAAACACCCCGTCCATTTTATGGTATATTCCTTGTGCAAAGTTGTCCAGAAGAATCTCCATATATGGACTTGGCACGCATGTGTCAAGTTCTGTATGCTGTGGCGCACACAGACTCTGAACCAATAAGGATGGATTAAACTGTCTGGCATCTAGGGAGACTGTCCAAGAACATTGGTTTATAACAAAGCAGTACCACATTACTGAACATATTGAATTTCAACCTTTCATTCTTAGCCTGTCCTATCAAGACTGTTTTAACAAGTTGATTATTAGTCACTTATGGTGACTGGTCAAACAGCAATGTCTATCTTCATATTCTAGTTTTCTTTCACTTTTCAATCACTATTGGTCCTTCTTTCACTTACTCAACCCTTGAAGTCTCTCTTACCAGTGGAAACTAGGGCCAGAAGACAGACGTATTTACTGATCTGAGTACTACAACAATTCATCCAATCTTTCTGATGAGCTCCCTTCTGACCCTCGTCTACTCTGGCCCCTTCCTCTTCCCCCTCATCCCTCTTAAGTACCTGCCACTCACCCAGATTTCTCCGGGCGTTCTGACAGGCTCAGCATGAGTCTATCGTAGTACTTGGCCAAGTAGAAATGTCCATCTTCCCATTCTGGGTAGACATCTAGAACATCTTTGTATTGCTTCATAACCGAGTTGCTCTCAAACTTGGCTGTTTCTTCCATGAATCTACCCACCAGGAGCAGTGCCTAGATCAGTCAAATATTGAAAACAGATGCCAAGGAAACTTTGATATCATTCATGTCAGGTGAATTATTCCATTGTTAATGCTGTCAGTATCAACCATGAACACGCTGTTCTAACTTCAAACTGTTATTACATCAGTAAATTACATGGTAACATTTTTGTGTATACCCTTGCATGCTAAGTTAAATTCTGGAGCAGCCCATTTGGGTGTTATCATTGAGTCCTTGGCCACAGACAATCGCTAGTTCAGCCATAGGGAAAGGCACTAACAATGAGAAACGAGTGCTTGGCAGAGTTCATTTGAATAACTTATAATTGATTTGACCTGCACTTGTAGACTTTTAATTGAATAATGGCTTGTAAACAACATTGGGAAATTGCTGGAAACAGTTTACATCAAGTAGGAACAAATAACATTTCAACAGGCCACATTGTGACAATTACCTGGAGAAAGCCAATGTATGGGTGAGTTATGGTATTTCTCATTTTTAAAGCCTACCTTTGCATGTGTGAGTTTCTCGGCCTACCGTTGCATGTGCGAGTTTCTCAGCCTCCCTATGCATGTGTGAGTTTCTCGGCCTACCTTTGGATGTGTGAGTTTCTCAGCCTCCCTATGCATGTGTGAGTTTCTCGGCCTACCTTTGGATGTGTGAGTTTCTCAGCCTCCCTTTGCATGTGTGAGTTTCTTGGCCTACCTGTGCAAGTGTGAGTTTTTCGGCCAACCTTTGCATGTGTGAGTTTCTCGGCCTACCTTTGCATGTGTGAGTTTCTCAGACTGAACATCTTGCGAGGAACCCCTCCTTGCTCGAGTTTCCTCTGAGAAATGATCAGCAACGCCCTTCTGCAAGGTGATCAATGCTTGGTGCCCCTCTCCCTGGTAACCAAGATAGAAATAAGGACTACATTCAGAAAGAATCATTAACTACAAGAAAAAAGTGAAAAGGAAATTGTTCAGTTTTCATACAATTGGCACCAACATAAAAATGTCTCTTTCCTATTGTTTTGGCTAGGTTTCTCTTCCATATCCACGCTTTCTGTGATTAGTCAGAGCTTGACTTCAAAATGTGATGCCATCGTTAACGAAGCTACTTGCTTGCATCGTCACTAAATGAAAAAGCAACTTATACCATTCACATGTCAATCTTAATTCATCAAGTTACATACAAAATGCAAACCTTCATTCAACAGTGAGATTATATTCAATATTCAATTTCCTGACAAGACGGTCATTTCATACATTCTCTCTCACCTTACTCCAGAGATATTTAGCTTCTTCAATACACAGATCTGGTAGATTAAACAAACTAGCATTCAGCAAGGAACTGTAGGCCGTCTGGAGGTGATCAGCCCTGTGAAAGAATATCACTCTTACAAACTCTACTTTCCAATTTAACTGTATTTACATTTCACTTTCCTTTTTTGTTCCTGACTGAAATTACACAGTGTTGATCAATATCAAAATGTTAAGAGTCCAAGATCCTTCACGTGTAAGCATTAACAATTGTTGTCTGCTGTGGTGGGGTCCATGGGTTTTGTACACCCCTTTGGGGCAAATAGCTGCCTCAGGTGCCATTTGCCCTGAGGGTGTATAAAACCCATGGACCCCGCCACAGCAGGTAACAATTGTTTTGTTATAGCATGGTCATAGATTATACTGCAACAGTCTTATCTGTAATATGCATATCTTATTGCAAGATAAATTAAAGCACTTTGATTTAATTAAAACACTTGAACAGCAAATTAGATATTAAATTATTAAGGAAAATTATTGACTGAAATGTCCTTTGATGAACTATGTTTTTGTTTCAGGTTTTTTGGAGGGGGGAGAAATCTAGGATTAATTTCAAAATGGTTTACTAGAAGAAACCTGGGATTCATAAAGCACTGGGGTTTGTTGACTGGTTGAATTTCAAGATTGATAAGATTGAAGAGTAGATGAAAAGAGACAACGGCACGAGCATTTCAAATAAACAGCAACGGCGATCACAGCAGACACAGTGAGGAGAGTATACTTGTGTTCCAGCATAGCTGGGTGCATGAACAGAAGTCTAATAACCTGTGTGGGGGGTCTCCGTCATGGTCAGAGTAAAGAGAGTAGCACATGCCAACAGACAGGGTGCTTCAATGTCCCACACAGAGCACATTTCTTACTATAATTGGTGCATAGTACCACCGCGGCTATCCACCCTCGTAACCAAGATTACACAATTACAACGCAGCAGACACTACACATCAACTCTGGGAAAGATCACCGTTATCCATCAATTTTTTGCGGCTCAGTAACATCGCCAGTGCGCTCAATGCATGAATGATACATGCATGCATGCTTGTAGCGTATCAAGTAATCAATTCGTGACAAATAAAAATCTATGACTGTGGTATCACAAAAATGGATGGATAACTCCACAGACAGTCATTAAAATTGCCATAAAAAGGGACATTTCCAAGTGCCCTTTTGTCTAATCAAACTCAACGATGTGAAAATATCTATGATACTAATGCTGGAATATTCTATTTTTCTCATAGTCACAGGACAACAGAAGAAAAGGACACTTACTTTCTGGCGACTTTTGCACTCTTCAACCAACACAGACCAAGATCTTTATTCTTACTGAAATTCTCAGGTCTGCAAAACAAAAAAATGTCACAAAATGCCAACTTAAAATTCAATTTTGAGTTTGACAGGTCATATGAACACAACATGATTAATCTCTAAAATGTCTACATGACTGAAGAATATCGAGATTCGGTCTGTGAGTGAGCAAATCATACCCTCATGGCAGTCTTTATATTGGGAATGCTCTTAAACAAGATATTCTGTCACAACAAACTATGTAACTAGTATGAACTAACAAACAGAAAATCAACTGTCCCCTCCCGGTGAGACAATAACTTCAATGGAACCACTTTGCTGCTCCTAGCTTGCACTGCAAGATCTTTGATTTCCTTTCACAAGCAGGTTTTGGTAGTGCACCGTGACATTTCATCACAACAGACAGCTTCCATGCATGATGATTAACCACTTGCTGCCGGGGAGCCCTGTTTCCAACACCATGGGTTTATACGCAGAGCTGGGGTGCCCAAAATGGGACAAAAGAGCTGGTCCGTGTAACAAAAGACCCAACTCAGAACAAAAGACCTGCTGTTGGGAATTGCCATCATTTTTCGGCTTGCATTTTTCAAAGGTAATCCATCACTGTTTTTAAACAGTATACCACTGTTTTGGGCATAGCGGGCCCACGGATTAGCACCGGGGACAAAAGTGCTCCAGGGCCCCATTGAAGAGCGACACAGCGCTGCTGCATGCTAATCCAGCAGCGTTTGAAAAGATACCACTCGCATTCACTTAGGACAAAGGAAATAAATTATGCAACACCTCAAAATTCTGGGCTCTCTTTACCGGGCTGAAATATTCAGGAGTCAATGAAGGTTACCTGTCAGCTTAAAGTAGCCACAAAGAAGTTATTCGTGTGGGTGTGAACGTCCATTGAATGAAATGATGAATTTTTTAAGAATTTTGAAAACTGAAAATCTTGAAAATCACCTGTATGTGTGCACTGCATTTTTAAAGGCACCCGGCAGCAAGTGGTTAACTCAGTTTATTAATAGTCAAGCATGCAACTTGGACTTTGACAAACAAATAAGGAAATTCCAATCTTTACAAGTCCTTGTATAGTGTTTTTCAAATTTCAATGGTATGTGAAAAATGAGGAACTCAGCTGATCCGAGGAAAATGTGCATGCCTGAATACTGACCTAGCTTTAGTTAATAGTTATATTGCATGAAAAATGCTGCAAGGTGTTTGCAAGCAATCATGAAGGTAGAATCATGCTGCGCTATGGAGAGGGTT